TTACAAATAAAATTTGATTACTTTGTATGGATTTTCATGCTAGAAGAAAAACAAAAGTTCCCTAAGCTAAGCCAAACCTCTTTTTGTATAGTTTTTTCAAATTCTTATAAAAAAAAAAAGTATACCAAATAGGTTATGACTTTAAACACAAATGTTAACGTATATCATTACATTAGAATATATTTGTTTTAAAGACAGATGTTTATTAAAAAATAAAATTTTAAAAAGAAAATAATTTTAAATAATTGTTTTATATCATCTTTTGGTATAATTTGATATTTTATTGAAATGATTGGTTTTTTTTCATTCATGTGAAACTCATAATATTGAATACATCCACTCATTTAATGACATGTGAAGTTATACCAAAAGATGATATAAAATAGTACCGCTCAATTAAAAAGTAAAAAATAGAAGTTAGTTATGCTATTTTTTACTTTTAATTTCTCCATTTATCTAAATAATGTGAGAGGAGAGGAAAAAACTAAAGGAAAATGATCTACTTCTATCCCCTTCTTTTTGTCTCTCTTAAACTAAAGGCAGAATATTTTAATTCACCTCTAAAGTATAGTGGTAGGGATGGATCTATTCCTGAACCAAAAAAGAGATAAATCCACCCACAAAGTTTTCGATTTAAATAAATCACCATAAATTTAACGTGTGACATCATTTGACTTCAATAATTTGTTAATTTGATATCATCTGACGTCAGCAATCCGTTATTAATGACATAACAAATTAACGAATTGTTGACGTTAAATAATGTTATACGTTAAATTTAAAATAATTCGTCTAAGTCGAAAACTTTTGTGAGTGAATTTATTTTCATTTTTTATTCAAGGTGGATATGTCCCTACCTCTATACTTTAAGGATGAATTTAAATATTTTACTTAAATTAAAAGTATTTAATAAATGCGAATACTAGAAATATGATATGCTGTTCTTTGAAAAAATTTCTATCTTCGACCAACTAATCTTGTTCATCACGATTATATTCATGACTTTTGTGCCCATTGATGATTGCTATTACTGATTTTTTTTTTTTTTTAGTAAATAGCCTTAGATTTAGTTGGTTAACTAAAATATGCTCAAATAGCCAATGAGGTCTTTGGCGTAGTGGTATGGCATGGACGGACAATTGAGATCTAACAACCGGGCCGTTATGGGTTATTGTTTCGTATTGTGGAGGTTTTTCTTCAGTATTTTCTGATTTTGCAATTTGTTTTCAATTACCTTTTATTTTTATTAGGCTAAAAATTATTTTGTTCGACTGATGATAATGTATTTGTACGGTTAAACTATCATTTTGCTTTTCAATCTGGATTTTGCACCTCATCTTTTTTTTTTCTTTTTACTAAAAAATTGAATAAATTAAATGTTAATATCTGTTACTATTAAAAAAGATCAAATCTTAAAATTAAGTATATTACACCTATTGTCTAATAACTAACGTGATCACCACTAGGGTTGCTGCACCTCATCCTTTTCAGTTGGTCCTGATTTTGAACCAAAAGTTAGCTTCGGAGGTTATGCTGAAGGCAAGTGCCGGTGTCCTTTTTCTTTTTCGAAGCTATTTACTATTAAAAACTTGAACAATAATTTTGAGATAATATTTTTGTATTATTTTTTTTATATAATTTGATATGTTATTTAAATAATTAATTTTTTTATTTATGTAAAATTTATAATATTAAATATATCAATTCATTTAATAATATGTAAAAATTATATCAAAATGTAATATAAAAAAAATATATCTATAACACTATCTTCAAAACCCCCTTATACTTACTTTAATAATGTAGTTTAATTGGTTAAAAGT